GACACGATAGGGGCTCCTTCTGCAGGTTCCAGGTCTGCCACGACACCCGTCGGCGGATAGAGAACTGATCAGCGCAGTGGGGTGGGGGTAGGATATCAGACATGGCGCGCGCGCACCCAGCGTGCCCTCCACCACTCCCTCCCCTCCCTCTTTCTCGCCCTTCTTTCTCCTCCTCCTCCTCTTCCTCCTCCTCCTCCGCCTCCTCCTCCCCTCCCTCCCACTCACTGACGCTTGTGGACACGGAACGTTTTGGAGCAGGTCCTTTTTCCTTCCATCCTTCCTCCCGCCGCCGCGGCGTCCTCCTCATCATCGTCGGCGTCATCATCATCATTATCATCATCATCAGCATCAGCATCAGCATCATCATCATCATCATCATCATCATCATCATCATCATCATCGTTATCATGCATCACTCACCACTCATCATCATCATCATCATCATCATCATCATCATCATCATCACCATTATCATCATATCATCGTCATCATTATTCCCATCATCAACATCATCATACTCAGCATCATCATCATCATCATCCTCATCATCATCATGCTCCTCCTCCTCCTCATCATCCTCATCATCATCGACATCCTCATCGACATCATCACCATTATCATCATCATCAGCATCATCATCACAATCATCATCATCATCATCATCATTACCATCATCGCCGTAATCACCATCACCATCACCATCACCGCCACCACCACCATCATCATCATCAGCATCAGCATCAGCATCATCACCATCACCATCACCATCATCAGCATCATCGTCATCATCAGCAGCATCATCATTATCACCATCAACAACAGCAGCATCGTCGTCGTCATCGTCGTCATCACTATCACCGTCACCATCACCATCCTCATACTCCCCCTCGTACTCTTCCTCCTCCTCCTTCTCCTCGGCATCATCACCCTCATCCTCATCCTCATCCTCCTCCTCATGCTCTTGCTCATCCTCATCCTCATCCTCATCCTCCTCTCTCTCCCCCTCCCTCCCCCTTCCCCCTCCTCCTCCTCCTCCTCCTCCTCCTCCTCCTCCTCCTCCTCCTCTCCTCCTCCTCCCTCCTCCCCCTCCCTTCTCCTCCTCCTCTTCCTCCTCCTCTTCTTCTTCCTCCTCCTCCTCCTCCTCCTCCTCCTCGATGCCCTCGATTCTGCGGGCACGAGTGCACGTCAACGCGCCGCCCTCTCCCCCTCCCCTCTGACTCCCCCCTCCCTCTCCCCCTCCCTCCCTCCTCCTCCTCCTCCCTCCCCCCCGCCCCTCCTCCCTCCTCCTCGCCTCCCCTCCCCCGCCTCCCTCGCCCCTCCTGTCTGACTCCCTCCTCCCCCTTACCCCCCTGTCCCTCCTTCCCTCTCCTCACCTCTCGTGGGGGGGTGCCCGCCGCGAAAACCGCAGGTGCGCGGCCAGGCGTCGCAGCGGCCCCTGGCGGCGCTCGACCTCGCGGCCGGGGCTGGCGGGGGATCGGTTACGGACGGCGAGCAGGCGGACCTCCGCTCCCGATCGGTCCGATCGATGCGGCTCCGATCGATTAGAGTCGTGGACCGCGGGCGAGCAAAGCAGAAAAGCGGGGCTGACTCAGAGGAGGAAAAGGTAATGGTAATGACACCGCTGCCCATCCCTGGTTTTCGTCTTTTTCGGTCTCCTGGGAGGCCCTCGTCGCCACGGCTGGACCCGCCTCGGAAGTCTGGTCAGAACGCCCTCGTGGAGAGGTCCGGGGAGTGAGTAGCGGTATCGGTACCTTTTCGTTTGCCCATCGACCGCACCGACGTTTGCGCGCAAGTTGCCGGCGTACCGTCGTGCGTGAGCGCCCTCGTTTCCGCCGCGCTGGCGGCCCGCGTAAGCCACCGCGCAAGTTGCTCTGCCATCTCGCGTAAGAGCCGCTTCTGATCTTCGCTCTGGTGGTTTCTCGCCCCCAGCTTTAAATCGGGCCTGTCCCTGTACATGAGGAATATTCAAACATAGTCAAGAATAGTCTGGGGACGATTTCTCGTTTTTTTTTTTTTTTTTTTTGTTTTTCCCCCTGTTTTGCGTATTTTTATTTTTCGTCCAAAAGCCGCTTGTAGGGGGACATGCCCGACCTGACCCCAGCCCCCGGCTTTTCCACGAAAGCCTCAGGCCGCTCAGACGAGAGAGAGAGAGAGAGAGAAACTCGGGGGACACACCCCCAGGGGGGGCTGTTCGATTCGGACGCACCACTATCGAGGATGGGCGCCCCCCCGACCGCATGATGCTCCCGAGTTGGGCCCCACAACTGTCGGTCCAGTCGGGCCCCCCCAACGCCGGGGATGTGGGTCGCCATACCCCTCCGTAGTGGACTCGTCAACGACGTGAAGCACTTTTCATTGTCGCGGCGCCGGCGCCTACCACATGCCCCCGAGTTGGGCCCCACGATTGGGGGATGTGGGCCGCCATGTAGTGGAGGCCCATGCCAAGAAAGACCCTGCTCGCCTCCAGGGTGCCCTGGGTTTCTTGGGTTTCGATGCTTTGGCGATGGAAAGCGCGACGCTCCCACACCAAGAATCGATAGACGTCCTGGGGTCTCAGGGTTGGGCTTCTTGTGGACGGTCTCCTGTGGATCGGCCCCCACCAGTGTTGGTGGACACGTCAGCGACGTGAAAGCACTTCCCTTGCCGCGGCGCCGGCGATCGCACGGCGCGGGGAGGCAAGCGAATCAAAACGTCCAGAGGCGACCCAAGGCTCCAGCCGTCGTCGACGCGACACAGTCAAGACGTCTTCTTTCCGTGGTTTTCGACGTCGGTCACGAGGCGGTGTCTCCGCCTTGGGCCGCAAAAGCGTTCTCGGTCTCCGGGGGGGACCTCGTCTGGCCCAGGGGCCCAGGGCTGCTTTCGGTTCCTCCGATTCGATCCAATTCCATTGCGATGGATTCCGACTCCGATTCGATTCGACTTGGGACTTCGGTTTGGGTTCTGGTTTCGTATTGGAGGCCAGCTAGCCTGCCGATTTCCGCCGATTCGACTTCTTCCGACTCGGCTGCCGATTTCCGCCGATCCGCTTCCTTTCGATCGCCGACTCGACTTGCCGATTCGGGTCGAGACTTCCGGGCGCCCCGTGCAGAACGCGATCCGGAAACATCGTGGCGCGGCACGCCTTCTGTGGCCGCGGGGCGCCGGCGATCGCGCGGCGAGAGGGGGGTGCCGACGTCGGGAGGCGAAGAGCGGCAGGCACGAGAGTGGCCGCGGAGAGGGGCCGCGGCTGCGGGCAGGCGGAGCGTCATATCGTGCGGGAGTCTTCGCGCCGGATGGTGAGCGTTTTTTCATCCATTCTTTTGCCGATCGGCGCGGGCCCTCGCACCCCTCCTCCCTCCCCCCTTGGAGCAGATCTTGTCTATTTTTGGCGCCCCTTTCGAGCAGCTGGAGTAGTCCTCCTCCCCATAGGACGCACGGTTGCAAACAGTTTCATTAAGCAGATGTCCGGAGCCAGACCCCCCCCTCTCCCCTTTCCGCCCAGTATAAAACGGTGTAAAACATATTTTTTTCGCTGTCGGGGGCGCCTGCCCCAGGGCGGCTGGAAAGTTTATACCTTGGCGCGCCACCGTAGGGGTACAAACTTTCCAGCCGCCCTGGGACAGGCGCCCCCGGCAGCGAAAAAGTTTATTTTCAATCCGTTCTTCGCCCGTTCAGGAGAGGGGGCTGCGGGCAGGCGGAGCGCTTGGATCGTGCCAGAGTCTTCGCGCCAGGTGTGGCGGCCCGGGGCTGCTGGGCGGAGTCGTGCGGAGCGGCTGGCTAGGGTTAAATCGGGCAAGTTCCTCTACAAGAGGAATATCCAAACATAGTCAGAAAATAGTCGGGGGACGTTTTTTTGACTACTGTTTGTCATTTTTTGAGTATTTTTGGTTTTTCGCCGAAGATCCGCCTGTAGGGGGACATGCCCGACCTAACCTTTGCTGGATGAGAAGATGCCCTGGGGAAAGGGTCCCGCACCCGAGCAGATGAAGAGAGCGGACCTCTGGCCCACCCCGTGCCCGCTCAAGCTCCACTCCGGAACAGGGTGGGCAGGGTGCATTTTCGTTCCTTCTCCCCCTCCTCGCCCTCCTCCCCTCTTCTCCCCCCTCCTCCTCCGCCTGCTCCTCCTCCTCCTCCTCCTCCTCCTCCTCCTCCGCCTCCTCCCTCTCTCCCCTCTCCTCCGCCCCTCCTCCTCTCCTCTCCCTCCTCCTCTCTCCTCCTCCTCCTCCTCTCCTCCTCCTCCTCCTCCTCCTCCTCCTCCTCCTCTCCCTCCTCCCCCTCCTCCCCTCCTCCCCTCCCCTCCTGCTCCGCCTCGTCCTCCTCCGCCTCCTCCTCTCTCCCCTCCTCCTCATCCTCCTCTCCTCCTCCTCCTGCTCCTCCTCTTCCGCCTCCTCCTCACCTCCTCCTCCTCCTCCTCGTCCCTCCTCCTCCTCCTCTTCCCCCTCCTCTCCCCCTCCCTCCCCCCCTCCTCCTCCTCCTCCTCCTCCTCCTCCTCCTCCTCCTCCTCCTCCTCCCTCCTCTCCTCCTCCTCCGCCTCCGCCTCCGCCTCCGCTCCGCCTCCGCCTCCGCCTCCTCCTCCTCTCCTCTCCCTCCTCCCCTTCCTCCTCCTCCTCCTCCTCCTCCTCCTCCTCCTCCTCCCTCCTCCCCTCCTCCTCCTCCTCATCCTCCTCCTCCTGCTCCTCCCTCCTCCTCCTCCTCCTCCTCCTCCTTCCTCCTCTCCTCCTCCTCCTCCCCCTCCTCCTCTCCTCCTCCCTCCTCCTCCTCCTCCTCCTCCTCTCCTCTCCTCCTCCTCTCTCCTCCTCCTCCTCCTCCCCCTCCAGGGTCCTCTTGGGTCCGTTGTGACACCCGTCTGCGGATGGAGAACAGATGATCTCATCCAACATCGATCGCGGCCAGTGCGACCCGATCTTCAATCTCGACCTTGCGACGGCCCCCGCGGCTCGATATGCTTGCACCTGCGCCGTCGGTGCATCCTGGTGGGCCTGACTCTGATGATGCTCTGGTGCCGATCCGATGCTCGGCAGGCGGCCTCCGAGCTGACGTCCCTGGTGTACGAGGCGCAGTCCTCGCGCGTGGCGGTGGGGCCAGGCGGCCTCGTCACCCTCCTCCTGGGGCCTCCTCCCTCCTGGGACCTCCCCCTCCTCCTCCTCCTCCTCCTCCTCCTCCTCCTCCTGCTCCTCATCAACTGCCTCCTCCTCCTCCTCCGCCTCCTCTTCCTCGTTCTCGTCTCCGTGCTCTCGTTCTCCGCGTCTCCCTACTCGGTCTCGCTCTCGCCCTCCCCCCGCTCGTCGGTGTCGTCGTCGTCGTCGTCCTCCTCCTCCTCCTCCTCCTCCTCCTCCTCCTCCTCTCTCCTCCCCGTGCGCCTGGTGCCCACCTCCCTCCTCCCCTCCTCCTCCTCCTCCTCCTCCTCCTCCTCCTCTTCTCCTCCTCCGCTCCTCCTTCGCCTCCTCCTCCTCCTCCTCCTCCTCCTCCTCTCCTCAAACTCCTTCTCCTCATTCTCCTCCCCCTCCTCCCTCTCTCTCTCTCTCCCTCTCCCTCCTCCTCCCTCCTCCGCCCGCCTCCTCCCCCTCCGCCTCCTCCCCTCCTCCTCCTCCTCCTCCTCCTCCTCCTCCCCCGCCTCCTCCTCCTCTCCCTACCCCCCCCTCCTCCTCCTCCTCCTCCTCCTCCTCCTCCCCTCCTCCTCCTCCTCCTCCTCCTCCTCCTCCTCTCCCGCCTCCGCCTCCGCCTCCTCCGCCTCCGCCTCCGCCTCCTCCTCCTCCTCCTCTTCCTCTCTCCTCCTCCTCTCCTCCTCTCCTCGTCCTCCTCCTCCTCCTCCCCCTCCTCGCCCATGGCCAGCAGCACCCCGTGCGCCTGGTGCTCGCATCCCCCCTCCTCCTCCTGCTCCTCTCCCTCCGCCCCTTCCTCTCCTCCTCCTCCTCCTCCTCCTCCTCCTCCTCTCCTCCTCCTCTCCTCCTCCTCCTCCTCCACGTCCTCCTCCTCCTCCTCCTCCTCCTCCTCCTCTCCTCCTCCTCCTCCTCCTCCTCTTCCTCCTCCCCCACCTCTTCCTTCCCTCCTCTCCCCCCCTCCCCGAGGACGGGGTTTGGCGCTGCTCCTCGCCTGCCTCGCCAGCGCCGCCTGCTGGGCCGCGGCAAGCCACGCGCGCGCCGCCCTCGCCGCCGGCAGCGATCTCCGGGGGCACGAGCGCCCGCTCAGAGATCCCCCCCTCTCTTGGCATCGCTCGGGCGTGTGCATTTCTTCTCGAGGGGGACCATCGAGGAGACTGTGAGTCATCTTGCGAACAAGCAGCACGCGCGAGACCGACAAGTGCACGGGGAGTGGACGTCCGAGCGATGGCAAGTATTCGGATAGAGCCAGGGCCCCGGGTAAGGGGAGCCGGGGCCAGTGATTGGGCCCCGAAGCCCCAAAACATTTGCCAGAATCATTCTGCCAAATCTGCCGTAGCTATGTTTTTGCGGGTGATGGCAGCTCCAGCTTAGACTGGGGCGGGGGGGCGTCTTCCGGTACACTTCCCTGAACATGGACCGCTGGATTCGCTTCGAAGTCGTGGTCCAAACGCACCCTGGGAGAGGTCCGGGAAGCAGCGGCATCGGTACCTTTCCGTTTCTCCACCACCAACCTCCTGAGCCGGCTCATTCCGGCCCAGCCCAGCCTGTACACCCGGGGGGGACTGGGCGGCAGCCCTTTGCGAAGCCGACCCCTGCAGGTCCAATCGGCGCTGGGGTGTCCGGACCCCCCCGCTGGGGATTCACCTGGCTGCGGACATCCGTCAGAGTCTGATCCCTGGCCACTGGCTCTCAGAATCGGTTCTGGACCCTGGGACTTCCCCCAAGACGACGACGACGACGACGACGACGACGACGACGACGACGACGACGACGACGACGACGACGACGACGACGACGACGACGACGACGACGACGACGTGCAGGGACAGGGTTCACATGTGGCTGCCCGTCTGGGCGCGCGCTCGGGCGCCTCGGGCCGTGGCACCTCGCCGCGCCTCGTGGGCCTCAGCCGCGGCGCCGCGCCGGGCGGCGGGGGCGGCGCGCAGGGCCAGAGCTCCAGGCCCGCGCTAAAGTGCCCGCACAGGCTAAGCCACCCACTTGGTAATCTGCATGGTGGTTGGCGGGCTATGCAGGCGGTCCACACGCTGGACCCCCTCAGAGGAGGAAAGTGTACCCACATACCGCTACCCTTCCCTCGTTTTCCCCCTACTGGGCCTCCTGGGAGGCCCCCGTCGCCACCGTTGGATTCGCCTCGAAATCCTGGTCAGAACTCACCCGAGCAGAGGTCCGGGGAGTAGCGGTATCGGAACCTTTTGGTGTCCCCACCCCCGCCTTGCAAACCATAATTTGTTGAGACGCCTGAAATGGATACGATGCCAACAGGTGTACGATGCCCAACAGCAAAGGTTGTCCCAAACCGACAACGGCCGTTGTTGGGCAGGCGACCTGTTGTTTTTTTGGTCAACCTCCGCGGGGACACCGGCAGCGACCTGTTCAAACAATTTGGCAGGAATTCCTGTGGGTCTTCGTACCCGTTCCCATCTTGCCGAACTTTGGGATTACGGAATGCTGGTCAGGGACTTTGGTCTCTCATTCAGATGATCGAGACATCGTGGGCGAAAAAACACATCCGCATCCGCGGCCTCCCGGGCCGGGCCCCTGGGCTGGGCCCCCGCGCACACGGGGCGTCTCTTTCGCGGGTGCCCCGCGCGCAACGTCCCCGTGCGACCGCGCAATTGCGGGGTCGCGCCCCGGCGTCCAGACTTGGGTTGGACATGGCCTCCTACAGGCGGATTTTGGAGGAAGAGTTAGGAATACCCCCAAAAGTGGTCAACGATGTTCAAATGATAATCAACAAGTCATCCCCAGACTATTTTTTGACTACAGTCAACCCGCATAGTAAGGATGGGCAGCCTTCCCAAGGGTACCCTTGCATCCTTGCCTCCTCGGTCCATCCTTCGCCACTTTCGTCGGCCTGCCCCCGCTCGAAAAGCTTCGGGATGGGCGTCCAAGGCCCTTGCATCCCTATCGCGCATCCTTATCATGCGGGTTGACTGTGTTCTGGAGTTTTCCCCCTGTAGAGGAACAGGCCCGATCTTAAGTCCAGACTTCGAGGGCGCACATCCGCGGGTGCGCCCGCCGCACGCGGGGCCAGAGGCCTGCGGCGCGCCCCCGACAGGGTCGGCGGCAGGGTCCCCCGCGATCTGGCGAGGCGCCACCGCTCCTGGGCAGCTGGCGCTCCATGCCTCTCCCTTCCTCTCCCGCTCTTCCCTCTCCCCCGCTCCCCCCCCCTGCCCCGCTCCCCTGCCCCTCACCGGCGATCCTGCAGAGGCCCCCGCCGGCCGCCGCGGCGGAGCGCACGCTCGAGGCGCCGCCCCCCGCCGCGGAAGCAGAGCGGGCGTGCTCCGGCATCCACGAGGGCTGCCTGGGCACCCGGTGCTGCAGCGACCCAGCGCCCGCTGCGGTCGCTCGGCAGCCCCTCGAGAGCCGCCCGGGGTTCCAGGCCTACAGTCAGGGGTTCCAGGCCTACGTCTCTCCTCCTCCGCCTCCTCCTCCTCCTTCCTCCTCCTCCTCCCCCTCCCTCCTCCTCCTCCTCCTCCTCCTCCTCCTCCTCCTCCTCCTCCTCCTCCTCCTCCTCCTCCTCCTCCTCCTCCTCCTCCCCCTCCTCCCCCTCCTCCCCTCCTCCTCCTCCTCCTCCTCCTCCTCGTCCATCTCCTCCTCCCCAGCCGCCTCCTCCTCCGCCTCCCCTTCCCCTCCTCCTCCTCCTCCTCCTCCTCCTCCTCCTCCTCCTCCACCTCCTCCTCCGCCTTCTCCTCCTCCGCCTCCTCGCATGTGTTCTTCTCGGCGAGGACCACTGGGTCAGGGGCAACGATAGGGGAGGATAGGCATATGGGGGGATGAGTCGACCCCCAGTCGCCCAGTGATCGCCGATAGGGGCCCGTTAGTCCCAGCCTGCCCAGGTCGGATTTGATCGGAGGCTTATCGCCGATCTATCTGCGATGTATCGCCGATTCCAGGTCGATGCATCCCCCCCTATGCCAGTCCCCCCTATCGTTGCCCCTCATACAGTCAACCCGCGCAGGAAGGATGGGCCACCTTCCCAAGGGTACCCTTTGCATCCTTGGCCTCTTCGGGCCCATGCTCGGAGACTCTCGCTGGCCAGCCTCGTCCGCTAGACGTTCGCATGGGCTTCCAAGGCCCTTGCATCCTTACCGCGCATGCTTATGACGCGGGTTGACTGTAATTACCAGACGGGGTCGGAACAGCTGGGGTCGGAGGATCGCGCCGCATCGCCGGCGATGAGGCTCGATGTGGGGCCCAAATGTGTCACGCCGACATCGCCGATACACTGCCGACGTCGCCCTTGCATCGCCCATGCGGCGCGATCCTGCGACCCTATCTACTCGGACCCCATCTAGGAGGCCTCTTGAGGGCCGCCCGCCCCGTGGTTTCCCAGGCCTCCCAAGTGGGGTCCGAGGTTCGGCGCTTGGGGCCGGGGTTCGACGCGGCATGTTCGGGCGTAGTCGTCTGCTCTCGACGGTTTTCAAGCCTCGGGGTTGGTTTCAGCAGCTGCGCCTCGCCGAGAGCGTTCTGGGGGTGCCTGGATCGTTCCGAACGGCCGCTAGAGGCTTAAGTGATGGCCCGAAAACCATTTGGCTTCGAATGGGTTCCAAGTAGATGAGGTCGGAGGATAGCGCCGCATCGCGGATTCATCGGCGATGCGGCTCGACGTGGGGCTCCATTTTCTCCATGCCGACGGCGCCGATGCATCGGCGATGCATTGGCGATGCGGCGCGATCGTCCGACCCTATCTGCTCGGACCCCGTCTGGGAGGCCTCTAGGTATGGACCTCGCAGAAGTCGAAGAAGAATAGACGGCATAGACATAAACTTTGACAGGTCCGCGCTGTTTTCTTGGATCGCTGTTGGCCTCGCCAGAGTCGGTGCCGGAGGCGCCGTCAGAGGTGTCGGTCGCCGATCCAAGATCTCCATGCGGTTCTCCGAACATGTATGTATGTGTACATTTTTCTGCCACGAAGGGGTACCGCGCGCACCCCCAGGGCAACGCCTGCTCGATCGATCTGGTTTGATGCCGATTCCGGCCGGCCCGATCCGATTCGGTTCCGATGTCCAGGCGGTCCGATGCGGCCCCGTGCTCGCACGGCGCGGCCGTGCATCCTGGCGCGAACGGCCCGATTCGATTTCGACTCCGTGCCGCTGCCCGATCCGGCGCGCAGTCCGCGATCCGATGGCCCGATTCGATGCCGACTGATCCTGCCCCTCGCGCGGCGCGACGCGCGAACTTGTCAAGCAGTGGCGAAGCGTCCTGGCGTGCCCATAGGCCAACCTGACAATGTTCTAAGACCCTTTGTGCTTTCCACGAAATGTTCTTGGAACATTTCTGGCTTGGACTGTCTTGCTTTATCACATCGGGCTTATGTTCTGAGAACATTGTCTTCGTTCTTAGAACATTTTTGGGCTCTAAGAATATGTCGTGGTAGGCCTATAGGAATGCCGGGACGGTCGGTTCCTGTTCAAACTTGGGTGACCCAGGGGCCCGCTCCGCAGCGCGGTGCATGACGCCCTCCTGGCCGATGCCAGGAGGGCCTAGGCTCAATTCGGGCACGTCCCTCTACAGGAGGGATGTTGAAAAAAGTCAAAAGATAGCCAGGGGACGATTTTCGGATGTTATTTTTGCATGCTTTTTGACTGTTTTAGATTTCCCTTCCAAAGTCCGCCTGTAGGAGGACATGCCCGTGCCCGACCTAAGCCTAGGCACCATCCTGGGGCGCAGGCCCGCCCTGGTCAGGCACGGTGGTGGTGTGCAGAGCTGGGCCTCCCGTGGGGGCCTGAAAACAGTCGCGCTTCGCGCGTCGCGGTCTGGGCCGGAGTCGGGGGCGGCCAAGAGGGGGGTGATGGATAGGGGGGGGGGGTGGATGTCATGGCGGGGGCCATGACGCTTCCCCAGATTCCATGGCGCTTTTTCTTGTGCCACTGCGTCCCTGGCCCCCCCTTCGGCCGCGCACATGCCGCCGGCTGCGATCTGCGCCCCCCCCCTCTCGGACGCCCCGCTCCTGGGCCGCCCCCAGCAGAGCGGTTGCCCCTCTCCGAGTGGGCGGCGAGGGGGCGCGGTGGCGCGAGGATAGTCGCGCGTCGCGCCTCGCGAGGCTCGGTGCGCGAGATTCGGGGACCGGGACTGGGTGCTTTCCGCGGAGCCGTTCTGCTGCTCCGAGGAGGCGGAGGGGGAGGAGGAGGGGGAGGAGGAGGGGGAGGAGGAGGAGGAGGAGGGGGAGGAGGAGGAGGAGGAGGAAACGGGGGGGGCTCCACCCCCCGCCCTCGCGGGGCGGCCGAGCGACCGGGGGCCCGTCGGCCCACTGCTTCGAGAAGAACGGCTACTGGGCGCAGTGCCGCTACGACTGCGAGAGCAGCACCGGGCGTTGGCACGGGGGGGTCCCGGCCCAGGGTGTCGCCCGTGTGGCTGCCAAGGGCGGCCCCGGGCGCGGGCGGCGCCATGTCCGCAGAGGCAGAGGCATCCGAAGGGCTGTTCACCAAGCAGACTCTGCCTCGGGTTGTGCAAGAGGCCGCCAGATGTGGGCTCCTTCGTCAGAGGCGTTGCCAAGGGTTAGCCGCCCGGGCGGCCCCAGCGTTTTGCTCGGGGATGCCCAGCGTTGCCCGGCGTTGCCCTGTGTTGCCCGTGCGATCTCAAGCAACGCCAAGTAACGCCAAGCAACGCCAAGCAGTTCAACGCAATGCGAAGCAATGCCAGGCAATGCCAAACATCGCATCCAAGCAACGATTCCAAGTAACACCAATTAATGCGAAGCTAATTCCAAACAACGCCATGCAATGCCACGCAATGCCGCACACGATCCCGGGTCGAGGGTTCACAGGTCCCCCCTCAGATCGGCTGGGTCCCAGGGTTCCACAGGCCCCCCCCAGATGGGATGGGGGCGACGACGACGACGACGACCCAGACGCAGACGCAGACGCCGACGCCGACGCCGACGGAAGACGACGACGACGACGACGACGATGACGAACCACCCAACACACAGGAGGAGGGGGGCACCGGCACCCACCACGCCACGCCCCCAGGGCCACGACCACAGGGGGGGGAGGGCGATCCCATTCGCGATCCCATCCGCGAGGCCGTCGCGAGGCTCACGGGCGTGCCCATCCAGCGGGGAGGGGGGGGCCGATGCCACAACCACTGGGGGGAGGGGGGCGGAGCCCTGGGTCATCTGTCGCCAAGCAATGCCTGGCAGTGCCAAGGCACGCCGAACAAGGCCAAGTAGCGCGGAGCAACGGAAAGCAATGCCGAGCAGCGCCAAACAACATCAAGCAATGCAACGCAATTCCAAGCGCCGCCAAGGAACGCCACACAATGTCAAGCACTGCCAAGCAATGCCAAGCAGCGATTCCAAGCAATGTCTGGCAACGCCCAGCAAAACCAAGCAATGCAAGTCAATACCAAGTAGCATGCCACGCAATGCCAAGCAAGGTTTCCTAGCAACAAGCAACACCAAGCATGATCGCAGAGTAATGCCAAGCAATGCTTTGCATTGCATTGCTTTGAATTCTTGACACTTCGCGTATCCCCATCAACGCATGGCGTGGCATTTTGCTAGACTGCACGTTGCCCGAGCTTCCCTGGGTGCCCTCGACCTGTCAGCCTCCCCGCGCGGCACAGCTGCTGCTTTGTGAGCTGGCCCGGCCGGCCTGCGGCGCGCCCCACGGTCCAGCTTCCCTCGTGGGCGTTCCCCACCCGGGCAGGGACTGGTTTCACCGCAGCGCCAGGCCTCGGCCTTAATACCCCCGTGCCACCTCTGATGGGGCAGAGGTGCCCCAATACCCATGCGCTGCGCACTAGACAGCCCCCGCTGGTCTCGTGGCACCCTTCTGAACGGCGGATGGTGGCTGAAATAACCCACCCCCCGTGTACCACTGGGACACCTACTTTGGATGTCTGGGGTGGCTGACCATAGACCCACCCCACGCGCTCCACCTGTATTGTTCCCCCTGGGACACCTACTTTGGATGGCTGGGGTTGGTGGCCATAGGCCCACCCCACGCGCTCCACCTGGCTCTTTCGCTCTGCACCTCACGTGCTTCCCCCCCGACGATGCTGCCCTGAAGCAGGGACATAGCGTTCCCCAGCACTGGTCAGGCGCTCTGTTCCCCCCGCGACCGAGGTCCCACCGCATCGCGCGGTGGAGATCACAGTGGCCAAGGCCCCGCAGTATTAGCAATGGCGTCGCCCCCCCCCTCCTCCTTACATTCACCGGATTTTGCGGCTATCGGCTGCGTCTCCTCCTCTCCCCCCTCCTCCTCCTGCGGATTCGGCAACACACGATTTCCCCCCTTACCAAGGCTCTTGGAACACTTGGGTCTATGTGCCACCCAGAGGCTCTCTCGCAGAGCTCCGAGGTGAGGTCGGGCCGCGCTGCTGCCAGGTGTTGTTCTGACACTCGGGCCTTCGGCCTGCCCCCGCACCACCAGGGGCCGGACCTGGGGTGAGTGCGGTACGGCAAGTGGTACACCCTTTGCTCGACTGACGACGCTCCCCCACTGGGGCCCCGGCCCCCGGTTGACGCTCGCCGCTTGGTTCCCCCGTCCACCGTGATGGATAAGCTGCCTGCGTTGTTCGCCGACGACTTGGTCCACCTCTCTCGGCGGGAGCCACCTTCGTGCCCCAGGTACTGCACAAGTGGTTCATCCTTTGTCAGCGCTTCAGCCCTCCTGCGGGTTGGTCCATGGCGGTCGGCCGCGCCTGCTGCCGTTCCCCCGACACCCTGGGTCAGGCAGTCGAGGTTCGGGCTCTGCGACTGGGTCGACGTCTCCGTGCATTGGTCGGTGGCTCATGTCCGATCGCGCCCAGGAGTCCATTTGAGTGAGGCTTTCCCGGCTACCCCTCGTCTGCCCGCGCGTTCCTTGTTCTCTCGCCTCCTCGTCGTGGTGAGCGGTGCGGCCTCGTGTGCCCACTGTGCTGCCACTGAGCTGCTTGGCCCCAGCCAGTGCTCTCTGGACTGTACGGTTCGAGCTGGCGCCACTGTGCGACTTCTCCTCCGTCTGCTTCAGTCTGGTGCTTGCGTCTCCGTTCCCGGGTCGCTCGCATCTTAATGGGGGGCATTTTGCCTCTTGCAGGTGCATTTGTTGCGTCGGCCTAGGCGCCGTCGTAACCAATTATCTCGGCCTGTGCCCCAGCCGCGTCCGCCCCGCTTCTTGGACTTTTCCTTGGAGCCGCCCATCAAAAAAATATCCCCGTCAACGCATGGCGTACACCGAATTTCCTGGCATTTTGCTAGACTGCGCGTTGCCCGAGCTTCCCTGGGTGCCCTCAGCCTGTCAGCCTCGCCGCGCGGCACAGCTGCTGCTTTGTGGGCTGGCCCGGCCAGCCTGCGGCGCGCCCAGTAGTTAATTAGGCCCGTTGCCGCGCCCCGGACCGCTTCTGACTCCGCCTGCGCCTTCGCTTGCGGACGCGACCAAAAAGTATCCCCATCAACGTTCGGCAATTAGGTTCGCGCGTAGCCCGCCCGACCCTTGACGCTTTTGTCGCGCTGGCCTGCGGCCGCGACGAAAAAATATCTCCATCAGCCCATGCAGAAACGACCAGCATGCGAGTTGCATGTAGCAGGGATGAGTAGGAACATGAAGTGGAATAGCCGCCCAGGCGCGTTGCCATGATCAAGGAAGTGTGATGGCACGCAGTGGGACATCCGCATTGGAAACGTGGCGTGTCCCATGCCCCCATGCTACGGCGGCGGCTGTTTGGGACTTGCTCGCATTATGCTTGCCTCATTGAGGGATACCTCGAGCCGAAGCAGGGTTTCGCAGGGCCATGGCAAAATCTTGCAAGGCGTTTCAAAGGTTTCCAGGGTATTGCAGGGTCTTTGCAGGGTACCGCATGGTCTGTTTGTCAGGGTCTTTGCAGGGGAGAGGGTAGGGAGGGGGGTTCTGTTCAATTCGGTTTGAAGGAGGGAACACGCGTCAGACCACCTACGACCATAGGGCTGGTGGAGTTGTTAAGAGCTGATTTAAGTTGCTGTGGCAGACAGCAGACCTCTGATTGGGGGGTCGCGCCAGGCTTATGTTTTTTTGTTCTCTTTAATCTGGGAGTCATTTCTTCATTCCGACCTGCGGGGGCCGTTTTCAAACCTTTGGATGATACCCTTAAAAACATGGATCCTGGACGGAAGACTGCCCAGGGGAAGTGGATGGGATCTCTGAGACCGCGGGTTGAAGAAATCACATCGTTGGATGTCTGAGGACGAGGCTCAAATTGATGACACCTTGGGCCAGGGGCACCCGTGTCAAGGCCCGGACAGCCACCTGACAGACCCTTGGACATGCAACAAGCTAGACTCGGGTCTGCAGCATGGCAATCAGTCCCGTGGGTCTGCGGGGTCGTGCGCGAGGCCAGGTGAGAACTGCAAGGACTCGGGGTGCTGCCAGGAGTCCGGGCAACGCTGCTACAGGAAGGACTCCGCGTGGGCGGGCTGCAGGGCGACGTGCAAGAAGGGTGAACATGATCCGTACGGCCCGGACATGTTGCCGTGGTCGTGTGAGGACCTGGGCCCCCGAGACAATGCGACCTCCGATCGTGTGCTCGGCATCGAGAACGCAACCCAGTGCTCTGATGGCTTCTCGAATTGCCAGGAGACCCGCTGCTGTTCCGACGTGGGCTTCCTTTGCTACGAGAAGAACTCGTGGTGGGCACAGTGCAAGGAGTCGTGCAAGAGGGGAGAGAACGACACCCTGGGGCCTGACACTCTACCGTGGTCTTGCCGGGAGCTCGGGTCGAGGAATCACGGACACCCTGCTGCCAGTAACGCTTCTTCTGGCAACGGCTCAGTCGGTAATGCGTCTGGAGTCTCCGCCAGCGGTGCCCAGAATGCGTCAGATGAGCCTTCCAATTGCTCGGCGGTGGGCCACGACTGCACCGAGACGCAGTGCTGCAGCGATGAGGGACTGCAGTGCTTCGAGAAGAACCTGTCCTACTCTGGCTGCCTCGCAGAGTGCACGCCTGGCCTCATGCCCTGGACGTGCGCCCGTTCGAGCAAGGCCACGCCGGAGAGCACGACGTCTCGGCGGCCTTCAACCACTTCCGCGCCGCGGAGCGCAACGACGACCCGGCATACTTCCACCGGTCTTTCCGCGTCTGAGGGCGCAGCGCCCAGTACAATCGACCAACTATCTGCTCAAGTCGCTGCCGCCCACACTGCTACAAACACAGGGGCGCCTGATGCATCGAATCTATCCACCCTCGATGCCTCGAGGACAGGGGCCCATGATGCATCGAGCGTTTTGTTCCTCGCATTTGATGCATTGGAGGAAGAGCTTGAAGAGAGTGCCAGAGTGAGAGCGCTCACCAATAGAGCATAATTCGCATGCAGAAGCCGGGTGTCATGAGCGCTGACCGACCAAGTTGCGGCGGTGTCTCAGCGAGAGTACACTTCTTGCGCACGTTATTCGTTGTAGATCCCTGAACATACCCAAACAGCGAATGCTGCACTCCTCTATATGACCTGTTGAATCTCTTGGATCGGTTGCTCGCCGTGACAGCCTGTGGTGCTGTGTGGTGCCGCGCCGTATACACTCTGGTGCTGCGCTCCCACTTGTCGGACGACTTGGCGGACGCCGCCCCCCACGACCTCTGAGGGGTGGGGAGGGGCTTGCTGCTCCCCCTCAGAGATCGTGGGGGGTAGGGGTAGGGTTCGCATGTGGCCCTCTAGTTCAGGTCAAAATTTGCAGGGTGCGTGGTGCGATGGCGCCAAGATAGTCGCGCGCTGCGAATCGCGGGGCGTGACATGCGAACTGAGGCGACTTGGGTTCTGTTTTGGCCCCATGCCTTCTCGCGCACCTTTGGTGTGTGGTGCTGTTCCCAGGGATTTGGGCGGATGCCTCTCCGGAAAGTTCTCTTCTGCCACATTAGTAATGTGGCAGAATATTGCGCATGGGTGTCCGACCAGCGGCGCCAGGCAGAGTAGACAATTTTCGACGCACAGAACACCCCGCGCAAAGGCTGTTAGAAATCCCATAATCCCCAAAATGTTAAAGTAACAAATTGTGTCAATCTATTATTCTCGTCCTAATTATTCTGAGACGGGTTTACGCTCACGGATCGCTCATCCACGATTCGTCTTCCTCCGCCTTCCTGGAGAGCCGGGCGCCCTGGCGCCGGGGTACTTCTATTGAACATTGGCGCCCAGCGCTGGGCGTGTCTACATGTGCTTTGTGTTTGTGTGTGTGTATGTTTGTGTGTGTGTGTGTGCGCGAGTGTCGGACACCCGTTGAGGGCAGGAAGGCTAGCTTGTGCTCAGTGTTGGCCTGCGCAGCTTTTTATCCGCTGCTCTCCACCGCCCGAGCCCTGAGCGCCAGAGGACCCCCACGCCCTTGTTGCATCTGTTCTCTCCCATCCATCGTCAGCGTTCACGCGATTCCAGCAAGATCTTGCTGTGTGTGCCGTCCCCTCCGTCTCGTACCTTGTGCTCCATCCCCGCCGTCTCGTGCCATCTCTGGCCTCCCTTCCATGGCTGTGGCGCTGGTGCCAGACGTGGCGATTTCCGACCGCTCTTCTTCTTCTTCTTCTTCCCCACCCCCTGTGGGGCAACATCAGTGGGCGATAGGCTCAGGGAGGGATACATCGGCCCCCAATCGCCCACTGATCGCCGACAGGGGTCCGACAGCCCCTCCCGCCCAGGAATGCGCGGCTTCACCATCGGGGGACTCTTGCCGATCTGTCGGAGATGTATCGCCGATTCGCGCTGGACACTTTACCCCCATGAGCCAGTCCCCTCCCCTTAACGTTACCCCTCTCTTCCTACCCCCGGACATCCGAAGGACACGGTCGGGAGCTGTTGCTTGGCATGCCGCTCCGTTGGCTCTGGCCCGCAGCGCTTTGGCGGGTCTCGCGCGGCCAGCGCTGCCGAGGGCCGGCCACGCGCGGTCGTTCTTTGTTGGAGAAGGTTGCCACTGAAGAGTGTCAGCCACGTGCATGGGGGGGCTCCTGGAAACGACAGGGCCGTCTTTTACCGGTCCCGTTTTGCCGTTTCTCCTGCCGGTTCCGACGCCGTCTTTCTACCTGTTCCGTCGCCGTTTTTGTTTTTACCGGTTTTTGTTCTGGTTCCAATCTTGGAGCCGTTTTTTTTCGTTTCCGGTCGCCGTTTTTGGGCCGTGCCCATTTTCAAGAGACATTCTTTTGATGGAAACGGAAGCCGCCCTGCCGTGTCGGGGGCCCACGAAGGGCCGGGGGGAGGGGGGGAGGCTTCTTAGAAGCAGGCGGCTTCTCAGAAGGAGGCGCGGGCCCTGTGCCTGTAGATGTGCAGCCCGCGCCTTCCGAGAAGGCGCCTCCTCCTGAGGAGCTCTCCCCTCTCCCCCCGTTGCCCCCCTCCTGCGCGCCGCCCAGCGGGGGGCCGCGCTGCGGAGAGCGCCGTGCCGTGCATGCCCTGCTGGGGGGGGGGGTCGGCCCGTGTGCCGTGCCACGGCGTATGCCATGCCGTGCCGTGCCACGCCGTGCTATGCCGTGCGCGCCGTGCGGCGTGCGCCATGGCACAAGGGCGCCTGACCATCCAGAACAAGAGAAGCCCTAACCCTACTAAGTACTACTAGCACTACTACTACTACTACTACTGCTACTACTACTACTGCTACTACTACTACTGCTACTACTACTACCACTACAACAACAACTACTACTACTACTAATACTTCTTCTTCTACTACTACTACTACGACGACTACTACTACTACGACTACTACTACTACTACTACTGCTATGACTACTACGGTTACTACGGTTACTACGGCTACGACTACGACTACTACTACCACTACCACTACCACTACCACTACTACTACTACTACTACTACTACTACTACCACTGCTACTACTACTACTACTACTACTACTACTACTACTACTACCCTACTACTACTACTACTACTACTTCTAGTACTACTACCTGTATATTGCTACTACTACTGCTACTACTACTACTGCTACTACTACTACCACCACTACTACTACTACTACTACTACTACGACTATTTCTACTACCGCTACTACTACCGCCACTACCACTACCAGTACTACTACTACTACTTCTACTGCTACTTCTACTTCTACTACTACTACTACTACTACTACTACTACTATTTCTACTACTACGACTGCTATTATTATTACTACTACTACTACTAGTACTAGTACTAGTACTAGTACTACTACTACTACTACTACTACTACTACTACGACTACTACGACTACGATTACTATTATTACTACTGCCACTACTACTACTACTGCTGCTGCTGCTGCTGCTACTGCTACGACTACTACTACTACTTTTACTACTACTACTACTACTACTACCTTTATTTTTATTATTACTACTACTGCTATTACTACTACTACTACTACTACCACTACTACTACTACTACTACTATTACCACTGCTACTACTACTACTACTACTAGTACCACTACTACTAGTACTACTACTACTACTACTACTACTACTTCTACTGCTTCTACTACTACTACGACTATTACCACTACTACTACTACTACTACTACTACTACTACTACTACTTACTACCTACTATACTACTACTACTACTACTGCTACTACTACTACTACTACTACTACTACTACTACTACTACTACTACTACTACTACTACTACTACTACTACTACTACTACTACTACTACTACTACTACTACTACTACTACTACTACTACTACTACTACTACTACTACTACTACTACTACTACTACTACTACTACTACTACTACTACTACTACTACTACTACTACTACTACTACTACTACTACTACTACTACTACTACTACTACTACTACTACTACTACTACTACTACTACTACTAACTACTAACTACTACTACTAACTACTAACTACTAACTACTAACTACTAACTACTACTAACTACTAACTACTAACTACTAACTACTAACTACTAACTACTAACTACTAGCAACTACTACTACTACTACTACTATTACTACTACTACTACTACTACTACTACTACTACTACTACTGCTACTACGACGAAAGCGTAGCCTCACTGAGGTCCCCGCCTTTGCACTAGGGATCATGCATGCTCCTGGGTGGTTTGGCTTGTTACGTCATCAGAAGAAAATGACCCCCTATCCCTGATGTGCTTGGCCCTAGGGTCAGGAGTACTCATATTGCTAATCACTTGATGATGCTGTTTGGGTTTGTTTGGCAGGGTGCTTTTATCCCGTATGCTGAGGCTGCTTTTGCCTCTCTTCGGCGGCCAGCCTAGGGGGGAAATGAGAGGAGGCGGGCCTTTGCAGGAGGCTCGGAAGTCCCCCGGCCTTCTGAGAATTTGTCTGAGCCTTCCCCGAAGATGCGGACAATTTTTCAGAGGGCGTGAGGGTCTCTGAGAAGCCCCGCCGCCTCCTGAGAAGGCCTTCTCCTTCTCACTTCCCCCCTTCGCTCGCGGTCGAGCTGAGGCTGCTTGTGCCTCTCTGCAGGAGGAACACCTCCGCGCGGGCCGTAGGACCACAGCTTGTTTTTTACCATACACTGGGGACGTTCCCTACCTCACTCCCAAATCGGGAGAGTGTAGGGGCACCTCGTGGGCCGTAGGCAGAAACGCGTAGCTCACACCTACCAGACACGGGCCAATGTGCTCGAGTGGACGTGTCGCGCGGCAAAAAGCGAGGCGCAGATGCCGTGCCGGCAAAAAACGTTGCGCACTTGCAGACCTGATACAGCTATCAGCCAGAGATGAACATCTGGCATTGACAGAACGCCCCCTCCCAAGACAAGGCGACTCAGGAAGTCTGCACGGATTAGCTCGACATTGGCCTCCGAGTGTGCCGGTGTAGTCCACCGTCGGTTTCGCTAGTCGACGTGTGCTTCGCCCGATGCACTCGGTAACGTTTGGACGTCATTCCTGAGTGACCTTTCGCCAGAGTGACCTTTGGTGCGGGCCCATCGGGATCCCTCGGTTGCTCAGCGCGATGCTTTCGCGGCTGCTTGTTCGCTTGGATTTGGCCACCTCGCGCCCCCCCCTAGTCCGCGCACCAAGGGTCACTCTTGCCCAGGGTCTCAATCTTGCGTGTGGCCGCAGGCCGCCCGGGCCCATGCGGAGTGCGGCGCCCTGGGCACGCGGGGTGCTCTTGTGGCAGCGCTCGCACGGCAGGGCGCTCTTTGCCAGGCGGGCTCGTGTGCACCCCCCCGAGAGAACAGCGTGGCTCGACCGAGCTCTTCCCGTGGGGCGCACTTCAAGGTTGGCTTGCCCTTCCACCACCCCAGGGCTCAGTCGGGCCTGTCCCTCTAGAGGAGGAACATGCAACAATAGTCAACAAATAGCCTGGGGATGATTTTTCTAGTGTTTTTGTTGGAACATGTTCGAGTATGTTTTGGCAATGTTTAATATTTCGTCTAAAATTGAGGGATGGCGCTGAGAAGGCTAATTGGTCTGTTTACGTCGGTGCCCCTCTGCAGGTGTGGTGAGGTTTGCGCCCGTGCCAGAGCTGTCCCGAACGGCCCACGGCACTCTGCGGAGTGGCCCAGTGCCAGCCCTTTCGATCCTCGCTTGTGTCCGCGATGTTCGCCAAGCTATCTTCTGGACCCCGGCACTATGAACGGTTGTGGTCTCCAAGTTTCCCGCCAGCGCGCGCAGAAAAAGAGAGAGGGTATGTATGCATTGAAGATGAGGCCTGTGCTGCGGCAAGTCCCGCCACCGTGCTGGCTCAGCCCCCTTGATAGCGACTGTCCGAAGAGCGCGAAGGAGGCCGTCACGTGTGGCATTCCGTGTCCCCGTGCGTGGGAGAGCCGTAACATGTGACACGATTTTTCGCGTCGTGTCGGGGCGTCTTTCCTCGTGGTTGTCGTATTTTCTGTTCCTCTTACTTAATCGCTTCACTCATTCCGCCAGCCCGTAATATACCATCGCAGGCGTTTGCCTGCGTGTTCGTGGCCTCTAGGGGCCTCTTGGGGGCTTCTTTGGGGTCTCTTGGGGGCCTGTTGTGGCCTCTTGGGGCGCTCTTGGGGCCTCCTAGGCCCCTCTCTGGGCGGAAAGCTCGAATTGCAGGTTCGTGGTTTCCCTTGTGGGCCCCACTTGGGGCCGTCGTGGGGAGTTCTTGGGCTCTCTTGGGTGCCTATTTGGCCATCTTAGTGCCCTTGTGGGCCGTCTTGGGGCCCTTTTAGGGCCCTCTTAGGGGCCTCTTGGGCGGTCTTGAGGCGGTCTTGGAGGCCTCTAGGGCTAGCTTCGGATGTCGGAAAACCTAAAGGGCGAGACGGCCAAAAACCACATATAGAAAAACAACACTACTGTTTGTCTCCCAGGGTCATTTGGGGGACCTCTTGGAAACTTCTTGGGTCGTCTTGGAGGCCTCTTGTGCCGTCTTAGGGAACATCAATGTATTTTATCTCGTGGGGGCCTCTTTGGAGGCCTCTTGGAAGCCTCTTGGGCCGTCTTGGCGGCCTCCTGGGCTGTCTTCAGGCCGTCTTTGTGCGGCTTCGGGCGCTTGTGGGGCGTCTACGGCCCCACTTGGGGCCGACTTGGGGCGTCCTTGGGCCCGTGTGCCCGCCCCTGGGCCGTCTTGGGGCTGTCTTGGGCCATCGTGGGGCCATCTTGGGAGCCCTCTTGGGCTGTGTTGGGGCGGTCTTGGAGGCCTCTTGGGTCCCCTTGGAGCGTCGGAAAGCCGAAAAGGCGAGAAGGCTGAAAACCAAGGAAAACCAATGACTTTTGCTCCTTGGGACGCTTCTTGGAAGCCTCGAGGGGCGTGTTAGGGTCATCGAGGGCCATCGTGAGGCCATCTTGGTCCGCCTCGGGACGCTGTTGGCTTCAGGCCGTAAGGCCTGCCACTTATTTTTCGACTCATTGGGCCGCTCCTGGACGGTTCCAGAGACCCCCAGGCCCTCGCACAAGAGATCCGGCATCTCTGACGGGGACTTGCTGGGAGTTGTCTGGGGTATTTTTTTTCGCTCCAGGACCCCCAGTCCGCCACGCGCGCGCGAACTAGAATATTGTTCATTTGTTACCGGAGATCTTAGCACGCCTCTGGCCCGTTGGGCCCGCGAATTCCCTCCTCCTCTTGGGGCGCTCTTACGGGCCCGTTGGGCCTCTTGGGGCACGCTCACGGGCCTTGTGGAGGCCTGCATCCTGGGGGCCTCTGAGGGCCTCTTCTTGAATAGGGGATCTAGGGGGTCTAGGGGGATCCAAGGGTGCTGGGGGGAGGAGGAGGAGGAGGAGGAGGAGGAGGAGGAGGAGGAGGAGGAGGAGGAGGACGAGGAGGAGGAGGAGGAGGAGGAGGAGGAGGAGAAGCTAACCGCCCGCCCGCGATAATAAAGCATACGCCCGCGATAGTAAAGCATCCCCCCCGTAACCCTGGAGTCATGATTATCCATCGGATGCTTGTATTTGAGAATTTGGCGGGGGAGCTGCGAGGCCGAACTTGATTACCAACCGGGAAAGTCCAGATCGTACGTTGAATCATCTTATCATGGTTATCTTTCGTTATCATCATCAGCATCCTAATTGTTATCATCATCACCCTCTCGTAGACCCCCATTCTGGCACACCCGTCACGGTCCGTGGCCCCATGTAATGCCCTAGTGCTATGCTTGTTACACCGCGGTGAGCATAGGACTCCGTAAACGAAAGAAGTTGGATGCGGCCGTAACAGCCAAACCGCCTGAGACATCCCCACAATCTGGGCATGAATGCTACGCCGACTACACTTGTCGCGCAGAGCATTGGACCCCCTCTTTTAGCACACCCGTCTCACGGTTCGTGGCCCCATGGGGAGCTCCGCCAGAACCAAGAGCGAGGAGGATTTCTCAGGCTTCGTGCTCGTACATCCGTACACCGTACATGCTTACATGCAACTTGCCTGGAATATTTTTTATTACCCCCCATGGCCCAGAGCTTTATTATCCCCATGGTGTGATTATCACCAGCACAGGTTTATCATAATGACTGCCATGAGGAAAGGAGGACCCGATGGGAACCAAGACAGAGGCGCAGAAAGAGGACAGTCTGAGCAGAAGGGGAAACAGTTTGAGGATGAGGATGATGTGAATGAACAGGATGAGGAGTAGAGTGATGATGGTGGTGATGATTCTGATGACGATGCTGATGGTGACGACGATGAGTATAGGGATGATGACGATGCTGGCGATGCTGACGATAATGGCGATGATGACGTTGGCGATGACGATGTCAATGATGGTGCTGATGTTGTTGTTGATGTTCATGGTACTGATGCTGCTGCTGATGATGTTGCTGACTATGATATTGATGAAGGTGGAGATGGGGATGGTGACGACGATGATGACGATGCTGACCATGACGATAACGATGCTGATGATGATGCTGATGATAACGGTGATGTTGATGATGCTGATGACGATGGCGATGACGATGATGACGATGATGTCGATGACGATGACGAAGATTTTGGAACTGATGCTGCTGATGAAGAGTATAATCTGATGATGTTGACGTTGTTGATGATGATGGTGATGTCTACAATGATGATGTCACTATTGATTATGATGATGCTGATGACGATGCTGCTGTTGGTGATGATGCTAAGGATGATGATCATGACGATGCTGATGATGGTGATGATGATGCTGATGATGCAGATGATGATGCTGATGTTGTTGATGCTGATGCTCGTGATGGTGATGATGATGATGCTGATGATGATGATGAGGATGACGGCAACGACGTTGATGACGCTGATGGTGATGATGATGACGATGCTAGTGATGATGCTGATGATGATGATGATGCTGATTATGACGATGATAATGCTGATGATGATTACGATAACGATGATGATGCTAATGATTAGGATGATGCTGATGATGATGGCGATGCTGACGGTGACGAAGATGATGCTGCTGATGATGATGATGATGATGGTGATGATAATGGACGCTGATTCTGACGATGACGATGATGATGCTGATGATGCTGATAGTGCTGATGATGATGCTGACGATGCTGATGACATGTTGGATCACGATGACGACGATAATGACGATGACGACGATGAGCATGATGATGGTGATGTTGATGACGCTGATTATGATAATGACGATGACGAAGATGATGATGATGATGATGATGATGATGATGATGATGATGATGATGATGATGATGATGATGATGACGACGACGTTTACGATGATGATGATGATGATGATGATGATGATGCTGCTGCTGATGATGATGATGATGATTCTGATGACGATGCTGATTCTGATTCTGATTCTGATTATGATTATGTTTATGATGAGGTTGATGGCTGCAGTTGCTGCTTCTACAGTTGCTGCTGTTGCAGATGATGCTGCTGATGATGCTGTTGAGGATGATAATGATGTTGATGATGATGATGATGCTGATGATGACGAGGATGATGATGATGATGATGATGATGATGATGATGATGCGATGATGATGATGATGATGCTGATGATGATGATGATGATGATGATGATGATGATGATGCTGATGATGATGATGATGATGATGATGATGATGATGATGATGATGATGGGGATGAGGATGATGGGGATGAGGATGAGGATGAGGATGATGAGGAGGAGCAGGAGGACGAGGAGGAGTATGAGGTGGACGAAGCGCATATTGCAGAGGGTCACTACGGTCGGTGGAGAGGGAGGAGGAGAGGTAGAAGACTGACGAGGTGGTGGGTTGTCGCTGGATTGTCGTACCATCCAGCCGCAGGGGAAACGACAGGAGGTCTCAGGTAGCACACATGTGCCCGCTCCAAGCGAGAACCCACACCTGCCTACAATCAGGATTCATAGCCCAGCAGCACCACTGAACGTCCGCCCTCTTCAACTCATTGGTAAAGCAGGAAGTCAAGGCCTCTTGATGGGCTGGAGTGGTTGGCGTCGGCGGATCGGATTGCACCGTCGATGCACATCGGCAATTCGAAACGTTCTCGAGCTCGATTTTTTTCAACGTGATGTCGCCGATGCATCGTCGACCCGGTGTGATTTTCCGAATCCTGCGGGCACAAGCCTCCCGCGAGGAGAGCGAAGGAGGAAGATTACGAGAAGGATTGGGGGGAGCAGGGATTTACGAGGAGGAGAGGATGGGGGACCAGGGAGGACAGAGGAGGAGTCCCAGGAGTTGGAGGAGGCGGAAGAAGAACGAAACAAACAGGGGTGGAGAAGGAGTAGGGAGGAGGAGGAGGCGGAGGAGGAGGAGAAGGAGGAAGAAGAAGGAGAAGAAGAGGAAGAGGAAGCAGCCGAGGCGGAGGCAGTGGCGAGGGCGGAAGATGAAACGTAGGTGAAATACCGCGAAGATGAAGACCAGGAGGAGGTTGTTCTGAAGCTGGGCCTGTTCAACAAGACGAGTGGTAGCAGAAAAGGTTCAGGTCAGCTGTGGTGCGCTTGTCTCACTTTTGTCCCCGCTGCTGGTGCGGCCTCTCATGTCTGGATCGCTGTCGTCCGCGCGCGCTGAGGGTGCTGCCGTCCTCGCTTTCGTGAAGCACGCGCTGCCAACGTGGGCACGCGCTCTCCTCTCTCTGCTCTTCCTGCTCCCCGGGGGCACGGCGCCGTGCCTCGGGCGGTACTGTTAAGTCGGGCGTGTCCTTCTACAGGAGGAATATCCGAAAATAGTTTTAAACAAGCAGTGTGGTGATGATTTTTTGGAGTATATGTGGATTATGTTTGGGCATTTTCTGAGTATTTTTTTGGTTTGGGTATTTTTGATTTTTCGTCCAACGTCCCCCTGTAGGAGGACATGCCCGACCTAACGGTACTGGCGCGTGCCCGCTCGCTCGCGCGAGCGGACTGCGCGAGGCGGATGGAAGTGGTGCGCGGGCGTCGTGGAGGAGCAGACCGCTCTCAGGCATACGTCTGCTCAAGTCCTCGCTTCTCGTGTGCAGCTCGGCTTCCCCACACGTCGAGAGAGCATGGCCGCCACGCCGGGCGCGGGCGGGGGGCCGAGGACAGCGTGCCCTCCCTGCTGGTCGGTGCTTGCCCTTCGCAAGGCACTCCGTCTTGCCGTCGCCAGTTTGACCCCTTCTGTATCTTCGGTGGCGCAAGAGGAGGCACTTGGAGCTGATGGGGAGGCTTGGATTTCCAGGGGCAACAACATCCTGATCATGCTCTCCAAGGTCGAGGAGGGTAGCCTCGAGTGGGAACTGTCCAGAGATTTCTGTGGTGCCGTAGTCACGAACTTGTCTTGCATGCCTTGTCTCTCCAACATGCATGTGTACCTTTGCGGTGATGTTTCCAAGGCCAGCAGCCTCAAGCTGGAGTCGGCCGAGCGAGTATTTGTCATCAGGGAAGCTTCGCACGGCCACGGCCAGGCTGACTCCTGGCCAGTCGTGTGTATGGGCCGTGTTCCCATTCTTGTGCACGGAGTCGGCGTGTACTACAGGCGTCTCTTCGACCTGGACCTCGACTACTTCAAGCGGATCCGCTCTGAGCACGCCTTCCAGACTCTCACGGAGTCGACCAAACCTGGGACGGCCCATCGTACGGGGATCTACCTGACGCCAGTCGAGTGCGAGGGCGAGGATGTGCATTTCCGATTGCTGCGGTGCTCAAGCAATTTCTCTGGTCCGACAGTCAACTTTGGTAAGAGCGATACCGACATCGTCACGGCCTTGAATGTAGAGGCAGCCAGTATCTTCAAGAATCCAGCGCCTCTGAACCACGTGCTGGCCCAGATCTACCATAATCAGCCTGCCACAGGCGGTAAGAAGCAGACGAAGGCAAAGATCAAAGCCCACTCGGACAAGACCAAAGACATGCCGAGCAATGGTCTCATGGCTTTCTGCACCTTTTACGATGACCTCGAGCGGTTGAAACCGTTGTCTACCGACACTTTCGACTTCGGCCTGAAGGGCGTCAGCGGTCTGACGAAGTTGCATTTTCGTTTGAAGCCGGGAGCTAAGGAGCGGCCTGGGTGCGCCCTCAAATCGGAGTTCAGTGTGATTTTGTACCCGAATTCGGTCTTCTTCATGCCGTTGTCAACAAACCGACTGTACACACACGAGATCAGGCCATCGGCGATGGACGCACACCTATTGCCCACCCGCTTGGGGTACGTGGTCCGCTGTTCGGCCGCCGAAGCATTGCACAAAGGCGGGCAGACTTTCCTCAAGATGCCTGCGGGCAGCTTGGCGCCACTTGAGCAGCCTGAGCCTCGGGGCGTGCACATCCTGCGCGCTCTCTACGCCGAGGAGAACTCAACCGATGACGTCATCGACTACTCGAAGCACGGGCCGCTTCTTTTCAGCATGAACAGGGGAGACTACCTCAGACCAGCGGTGCACAACACGGCAAATGAGTTTCGCTCGCTCCTGGTGCGCACCGATGGCAATTTGTTTGATCAGCTCTTCCGTTCGGTGCAGTTCGAGCAGGTGGGCAAGGGCCGGCTGGGTACCGTTCTGACGAAGCCAGACGTCGCACGTGGTACCCCCATAGTGCGCACCACGACAAAGTACGGTTCCCCTGCGCAGTCCTTCGGCTCAGTGCATGATCGCCTGGCGCAGAACATTCAAGAGTGTGCGTCGCTCCCGGGTGGCTTCAACAATGCCCTCATCGAGAGCTATACCAATGCCTACACCACCATGGGCTTTCATTCGGACCAGGACCTGGACTTGGAGGAAGGTTCGTCCATCGCTGTCTTTTCTTGCTACCAGCACCCCGAGCTAGCGAACCCACCGCGCAAGCTGATCGTAGAGCCAAAAGGGCCTGGTGGTGGGACGTTTGAGGTCCCTCTTGTGCATAATAGCGTCGTCGTCTTCTCCCTTGACACCAATCGACGTTTCAGGCATAAGATCGTGCTAGACACCGCCGCCAACCCGCCCGCAAACCAGTGGCTGGGTGTCACCCTTCGGACGTCAAAGACGTTTGTGCAGTTCCGGGACGGGCAGACCTGCTTTGAGGACGGCACGCCTCTGACTCTGGCCAACGGCAACCAGCGCCGCGAGTTTTTGCATCTCCGCGGCGGCGAGAACAAGGGGACGAACTTTGCCTATCCTCGGCTCACGTACACCATCAGCGAGAGCGACATGATGCCGCCTCTTCCCGTCTGAAGCCGAGTAGGGTGATCGCGCGCGCGCGCTTATGCGTGGAAGCGCGTGCTACGGGCCAGAAGGCTGGTGGCTCCAGTGGGAGCGGTCGGGCTTGTACCGACCAGCTCGGGCTGTGAGCAGCGAGCATCGTGTACAGAATGGCCCTTCATAGACGGGGGTGCGAACCGTGCAGTACTTGCGAGCCCCAAAATTGTGATGCGCCTATGTGCGTCGCAGGTTTCGGCAGGGCCTCGGTGTTGCCGCAGTTGCAATTCTAGACGCTCCGCGTAAACCTGCCAGCCCATCCAGAAACAATGCCCAGACGAGTTGCCCTGACCAGCGGTGTGGAGGAGCATGCAGTGAAGTAAAGAGCTGGACACGACGTCCTACCCCCATACGGTGGAGGATGGAGGAGGGATCTGAGGAGCAGGACGAGGAGGAGGAGGAGGAGGAGGGAGGACAGGGGGAGAGGGGGAGGGGGAGGAGGGAGGAGAACGGAGGAGGAACAGGCGGACGAGGAAGGGGAGGATGATGAGGGGGGAGGAGGAGGGCGACCAGAAAGGCCAGAAACATCTCGGATGCCTCTCGGAGTCTCTCGTGGAGTCCTCTTTGGGTGTTTTGGGAGTCCCTTGGCGTCTTGGGTTCCTCTGGGGGGCCTCTGGGGGGCCTCTTGGGAGCCCCTTGGGAGCGTCTTGGTGGCCTCTTGGTTGGCTCCTGGGGCCTCCTGGGCACCTCTTGGGGTTGTCCTGGGGCACCCTTGAGCCTCGGTTGCCATCTTGAGGCCATCTTGGAGGAGATCGATCAAAGAAGGGGCCGTAATCTGTTAGATTCCCCCAGGAGGCCAACAGGCGGCCAAAATCTTGGTAACCTCATTGCTGTTAGTATTCTCGCCGAGGCCTCTTGGGGCGTCTTGAGTGCCGCTAGGGGGGCCCTTGGGCCTCTTGGGAGCGTAATGGCTGCCTCGTGGGCGCCTCTTGAGGTGTCCTGGGCACCTCTTGGGGCTGTTTTTGGGCACCCTCGGGAGCCTCGGGGGCCATCTTGGGTCAATCTCGGAGGAGATCGATCAAATGAGGTGGCTCGTTCATTAGTGAGCCCCCCCCAGGAGGCCAACAGGTGGCCGACACCTTATTGCCATACGTGACTTCTGCCTTCTCGCCGATGCCTCTTGGGGAATTTTGGAAACCCCGGGGGCGCCTCTTGGGGCCTCTTGGGGGTCTCTTGTGAGCCTCTTGGCGGCCTCTTGGAAGGCGTTTGGTTGTTTTAGGGCACCCTTGGGAGCCTAGGGGGCCATCTTGGGGCCATCTCGGAGGAGATGGATCAACGGAGGGGGGCTCACCAATTTGGCTCCCCCCCCCAAGGGGGCCAAGCTGTGGCCAACACCTTGGTACAGTTAATGCCTGCCAACGTACACGGGACGTATCAAACCCCTTTTCTTCCACGCGAGGCGAGTCTTTGTATACACGCTCCATACAACACACGCATCGCCAGATGTTCTGCCTTCATCTCCGCCGTGCCTCCCATGAGCCCACGAGATTGGCGACAGTTGCAGCCTCACAGGGAGCCGCGCGGTTTCAAATCGGTGCGCGTGGCCCCCGACCCCGCTGGACCTCACAGGAGCCCACGAACGTTGTGATGGTTGCGCACTTCCCAGCCTCCCATGGAGCAGCGACTTCTCGGCTGGATCCGCGTGGTCCCCGACTCCGCTGGACCTCCCAGGAGCCAACGGAAGTGGCGACAGTTGTGCAATTCGCAGCCTCCCAGAGAGTTGCGAGGTTTCCAATGGGACGAACGTGGCGAAGATTTGCGGAGTTCGCATCCACGCAGGGAGCAGCGATGTGTCCCGCCTGAGTCCGTTTACTCCGGTACTCCGCCGTGCTTCTCAGGAGCCCACGGCCGTAGCGACAGTTGCGCAGTTCGCAGCCCCGAAGGGAGCTTTGAGGTCCCGCCTGGGTCCGCTTACTCCGCCACTCCGCCGTGCCTCCCAGTCGCCTACGACAGTGGTGACAGTTCCACAGTTCGCAGCCCCCCGGGGAACTGCGAGGTCCCGCCCGGGTCCGTTTATTCCGCTACTCCGCCGTTCCCGCCTGGGTCCGTTTGCTCCGCTATCCCGCCGTGCTTCCCTGGAGCCCACGGAGGTGGCGACAGTTGCGCATCCCCCCCGGAAGCTTCAAGGCTCACTTGGGTCGGTTTACTCCGCTGCGCCGCCGTGCCTCCCAGGAACCCACGAACGTGGCAGAGGCTTGCGCAGTTCGCAGCCCCGAAGGGAGCTGTGAGGTCCCGCCTGGGTCTGTTTACTCTGCCACTCTGCCGTGCCTTCCAGAAACCCACCAAAGTGGTGACAGCTCTTCAGTGGGCAGCCACCCATGGAGCAGCGCAGGAGGGGCAGGGATGAGTCGCGACCGCAGTGCTCTATCCCAAGCGAGAGCCCAACACGGGAGGGTTGTGGCAGGGACCGTCTGACACCTAGCGACTCGCCCCCGTCCAGACCAAGTGGGAGGGGGTCGGGGGAAGGGTAAGGCCCTCCCCTAAGTGGAAGAAGGGGGTTGGAAGAGCAAGCTCTCTAAGCCACTCACGCCCTAGGGCTGATGGGGTTTAGATGCCAGAACGTGGGCCCCAATCAGTGTTCTGTGCAACCTACGGGGTGCAACCTACGGGGCTGCAGCATAGGAAGTGCACTCTAGGCGGTTCAGCCTGTGGGATGCAACTTGTGGGGTGCAACATGTGCGATGCAGTCTATGAGGTGCAACTGATTTTTACCCATGCTTTGACACATCCCACGCTCTTGCAAACATCCCACCCACCCACCCGCAACTTGGTTTGCAAAACCTCTTAAGACCGACTACGACGACCCCGACGACAACGACTACGACGACACCGACGACGTCTCCGACGACTTCGACGACGACAACGACGCCGACGCCGACGCCGACGACGACGACGACGCCAACGAAGACGACGACGAGGGAGGAGGAAGGACGACGACGGCGACAACGACGACAACGACGACAACGACGAGGGAGGAGGGAGGACGGCGACGACGCGAACGACGACGCGACGACGACAACGACGAGGGAGGAGGGAAGACGACGACGACAACGACGACGACGACGACGGCGACGAAATAGGAGGGACGACGACGAGACGCCGACGACGGACGACGACGACGACGAGGGAGGAGGAGGAAGGACGACCACGGCGACAACGACGACGGAAACGACCACGACGCCAAAGAGGACGACGACGACGAACACGAGGAAAGACAGAGGACGACGTAGGCGACGACGACGACGCGGGAGGAGGGAGGACGGCGACGACGACGACGACGCAAGAGCGCGCGCGCACGCTTTTGTTGAACATCCGTGTTGCGAAACCTTGTGTTTTTGTAGGTTTTTTTGGACACACGATTTTGAAATCCTTCCGAAACCAATGGGTTTTGAAGGTTGTCGGCATACGCGCGCGACGACGCGCGCGTCTGCACTTCGTCCAATGTTTTGCAGAGGGTTTTGTGCGACGGCACACGCGCAAGGGCGTTCGACAGATTTCGACATGCGCGCGCGAAACCCGTTCAATAGCATTTTGTGAAAGTGAAAATCCCATGGTTTTCTTAAGATTTCGCAAGAACTCGCGCGGAAGCTTTTTTAGCAAATCAGTGTTGCGAAACCATTTGTTTTTGTATGTTTCTTTTGGGAAGCTCGATTGCGAAATCCTTCCGGCACCGAAGGTTTTTGGAGGATTTCGGCATGTGCGCGCGACGACGCGCGCGTGTGCACTTCGTTCCGTTTTTTGCAAGGGATTCGCCAAAAAGTGTTAGGTTAGAACAAAGAATGTCACCGCATAGTGTTTTTGACAAGGGAACCTCAGGGGGGGATACCGGCTGGCCTGGGAGATTGTCATTTCATATTTCGGATGGACATGTGGTCATACTCATAGGTTTACATACCCGAAAGGGGGACCGATAACGCCGGGGGGGTAGAGTCTATTTTTTAAAGAAAGGAGAATTGATTCCTGTTCGCAGTGAGTTGTCCACCCCACTGCTCGCGCAAACATCCCACCCACCCGCCCGCAACTTGGTTTTCAAACCTCATGCGGCGGCGACTGCGATGAGTGCTTGGCGCTGGCTGGTGCATCTCTGCGGCCGCGCCAGCCCGCGCATGCGCGCGCGCAGCGGCCAGGTAGTTTGGCGCGACCGACGAGGCCGCGGTGGTGCTGACCGCTCGGCACATCCCAGCGGGCACTTGAGTACGAGTCGGCGGCTTGGGCGGGTGCGGTGTCATGGCAACGTCGACACTTGTAGACACGATGACGATGAGAGTGGCGATGCTGGTGGCGATACTTGTAGACACGATGGTGATGATAGGGGCGGTGACGGTGCCGATGCCGATCGCGCCGACGACGGTGACGGCATTTTCGCGTGGGTGATGAAAGAGTTGGAAGGAATTCGAAATGCGCGCGCGGCAGACGCACGAGAGTGGCCCGCATGGTATTGTTTGACACGGGCCGTGCCGCCCCAGCACGCGCGCACGGGCGTCCGAACGATTTCGAGATGCGCGCGCGCGAAGCCCGCTAGGTAGCATTGTGTGAACCTGTTGAAAACCTTATGATTTTCGGAAGAATTCGCAAGAGCGCGCGCGCACGTTTTTCTTGAAACATCCGTGTTGCGAGACCACCATGTTTTTGTATGGTTCTTGGGCATTCGATTTTGAAAGTTTCCGAAACTTTTTTTGTTGTTGAATAATGAGTTCGGCAAGCGCGCGCGACGACGCGCGCGTGTGAACTTCGTTTTTTTTTGTTTGTTGTTGTTTTTTCCCCAAACGGTTCTCGCGACGTCACGCGCGCAAAGGCGTTCGAACGATTTCGACATGTGCGCGCGAAGTTCGTTCTGTAGCATTCTATGGTCAGGTTGAAAGAACTTACGGTTTTCGTAAGAATTCGCAAGAGTTCGCGCACACGCTTTTGTTGTTGCGAAACTTTTTTTGGCTAAAAACTATGTTTTTGGAGGTTCGATCTCGTAATCCTTCCGAAACCGAAGGTTCGTGATGATTTCGCCATGCGCGCGCGACGACGCGCGCGTGTGCACTTCGTCCCGTTTTTCGCAAGGGATTCTTGGACACTTTGATATCTGATAACGAATGCGCGCGCATATTTTTTTTGCAATGGAACCGAGGGGGGCGATACCGGTTTGGCTGGGATAGTATGAATTCAGAGGTCGGATGGGCATCGGGTCATAACCATATGTGTTTTACATCGGTTCCCGGCGGGTGGATACGTTTGGGGTGGTGGTGGTAGAACCCAATCCCTTTGGTTAAGAAAGGAACATTCACCAACGCTCAAATTGAAATTGTCCACTCCACTGTTCGCGCAAACGTTCCACCCACCCACCCGCAACTTGGTTTGCAAACCCCATGCGGGAACAAATGCGATGAGTGCTTGGTGTTGGCTGGTTCATCTCTGCGGCCGTGCTAGCCCGCGCATGCTCGCGCGCGCAGCGGCCCGCTAGTTTGGCGCGACCGACGCGAGAGCGGTGGCGTTGACGGATCTGCACAGCCCAGCGGGCAACTCAATGCGGGTCGGCGACTTGGGCGGATGCGGTATCATGGCGACGTCGACGCTGGTAGGCACAATGATGATAGTAGCGATGCTGGTGACGATGCTGACAGCGACGACGGGGCAGCCAGTGACGGCGCCGATGCTGATCACGCTGGCGACGATGGCGGCGTCTTCGCGTCGGTGATGAAGGTTTTGGAAGGAGTTCCACGCGCGCGCGGCAGACGCGCGAGAGTGGCCCACATGGTATGCTGTGGTACGGATCGTGCCACCCCAGCACGCGCGCAAGGGCGTCCGAAACCCGCTTGGTAGCATTGTATGAACATGTTGAAAACTTTATGGTTGTCCGAAAAATTCGCAGGAGCGCGTGCGCAGGCTTTTTTTTGTTTGAACATCCGTGTTGCGACCGATACCGGTTTGGCTGGGATAGTGTGAATTGACAGGTCGGATGGTCATTGGGTCAGAATCGCATGTGTTTTGCGTCGGTCCAGGTGAATCAATCAGTTCGGGGGGGGTGAGGTAGAACCTAGTTCCCTGGTAGAAAATGAGAATCTGTGGGGCGTCTTGGGGAGCCTCTTGTGGGGTTTTCTTTTGGGGGCTAGCTGGGGATTCCCCTGCTTGGGTCTTGTGACCGTCTTGGTAGCAGGTTTTCAGGTACGCCTGGGCGGCTCGCGGGGCACGCCTGGGCGGCTCGCGGGGCCGTCTTCGCGCGGCTTTTTGGACCGCCTTGGGGCCATCTTCGGGCGGTGTTGGGCCATCTGGGGGGCCGTCCCGGACCGTATTGTGCTGTCGTGGGATTGCCGTTGGGTTCGGTGCAACGGAAGTGTGCACGGACATGCTGGGGACACATAGCGGCTGCAGTTTTTGTTTGTTTTAGACGGCGTCGCCGCGGACAGTCCATGTTTTGAGACGTGACAAGACGCCGCCTGTCAGCCGAACAACGACCGCTACCGTTTTTGGGCAACAGTTCCTGTGGGGCATCGTAACCCTTCTTTCGTTCTCATGTCGGGCGTGCCTTGAGGTGGTCTTTGGGTGCCTTGGGCCAGGTTCGAGAACCCTCAACTTGTTTGGCAGCCATCGGATGCAGCCCTGGGGAAGTCCAGGTTATTCAAGGGTCAACCTTGAATGATCAGGGTGCCAGATCAACAACAATACTGAGTAAACAACGGGCCTCTTACGAGTTTGCGTGTTTCTGTGCTTTTGTCTTGTGTACCCTTTGGGTCCCTCTCTGAGAAGCCTCGTGGTAGCCTGTGGGGAACTGGTTTATGCTCTTCGAGCCGACTTGGGGTGCTTCGGACCGTCCAATCAGCTTTCAAGTTGTTCTATCTTTGTTGGCATGCATTTTTCTGCCTTGGAGCCGTCCTCTTGGTCTGACCTGTCGGTACTCTTTGGCATTCCTCTTGTGGTTCTGGAACCGTTCTGGGTCCCTTGGGGCACTGCTCTTTGTTGCCTGGAAGCCATATGGAGGCACTCTTGGAACCTCCCAGGGCCTTCTTTGGGGCGGGGAGTCGGGACATGTTGGGAACTTGTAGGGGTCTCGGAGCTCGAGACGTGCACCCGCTCACTTGCGGAGATTTGCGATCCGGTAGGCACTGCCCACGGCTGTCCTCCATCCGCTCGATGCAATCGGTGGATGGCGAGGGGGTATATACACATGTTTATATCTGTATATATATATACACACATAGATGCGTATGGTCGCCCCCCTCCAATATCATGCATCACATCTTGAGGCGCGTTCATCCTCATCTCCCTTGTTCTCCTCCTCTTCGTCTCCCTCCTCCTCCTTGTCCTCCTCGTCGTCCTCCTCCTTCTCGCCATGATCCTCAATTCCCTCCTCCCTCTCATCTTCCCCCGTCGTCCTCATTATCATTCTCCACTATTTCTTCCTCTTCTTCTTCTTACTCCAGCTGGAGGCTGAATAACTTGAAGCAACCAATGGAACTGCAAGCACACCAACGATTTCAGCTACAGAGGCCTGACCAACCAAACCACACATACCGAAGCAACACGCACACATGAACACGCATTTCGATGCGCACTCTCGGGGGAGGGGGGGGGGGGTGGGGCGAAGTATTGAACTTGATGTTTGTTTAAGGGGGTCCTTCGTTTTTTTTGGTTTCCAGCAGTCGGTGTTTGTTCTCTTTGGCGTTTCTTGGATTTCCTATG